GGAGGGGGGGGAGGGGTAGGGAAGGGAGGGCAAGGGAGTAAGGGAGAGACGGAGAAGAGGGAATGGGAGCGGGATGAGGGCGAGGGCGAGGCGAGGGCGAAGGTGAGGAAATGAATGGATAGAGAGGGGGGTGGAGAGGAGAAGGCAGGTAGGGAGAAGGAGAAAGGGTGGGAGGGGAATGGAGATGGAGAGGGAAAGGGAAGCGGCGAGGGGTCGACGAGGGGATAGAGGGAAGGGGACGAGGGGGAATCGCCTCCCCTCCACCTGGGCCACCGCTTTAAGCCACCAAGAGGAGCTGGGGGGGACGTGGTCTAGGCGTTCGCGAATCCACCCGAGCGGCTCGCGACAATGCGCCACCACGAAGTCCACGCTCGCACGAAAACCGGCGTCCACCCTCTCTGCCCCCTCCGCGGAGGCCTCCTGCGCTCTCTTGACCTGAGCCATCGCTTCTCTGAAGGGCCAGGCCGCTGGCTTCGCAATCATCAAATGCTGCTGAAACGGCGACGCCGCCTTCGCGAGATCCAGCGCCTGATTGAAGAGGGTCCAGCCCTGGGAAGGGTCCTGCCAAGACGGTGCTATAAGCATCAACTCAGCAACTAGGAAGTGGGCAAAGATCAGAGGCGTAGGGCAATCCATGTTGACCAGATTCTCCCGGTAAACATGTGGGAGTCGCAGCAAAAAGAAGGCCTCCATCAGAGGCGGACGAAGACCGGACACGTAGTGCGCCTCCAGTTTCCGCTGGAACATCGCGATGGAGAAGGTGTAGTTCGGGCAGCTCGGGGGCTGTTCCGGGTCGAACTTGCTGTACTCGCACCAGCCGAAATTCATCTCCGAGAAGCAGCTCATACCCGCGGCGCCAACTGGCGCACCGAAGCCGCACCAGCACGCCGCAGCGGCCACCCGCCGCACACCGCTGCGGCGCCACCGCCGTCGTCGCTTGGGGTGGCACGGCCGCGCCATCTGCCGGCCGCTTCCCGCTCAGGCCTCCGTGGCCCCGCGGGTTCGTGGCATCCGCGACCGTCAGCGGACGAAGAGCGGTATAAAATGCACGGTTCTGCCATCGGGGCCGCCTGTCCCAGGACGGCTGGACGGTTCATACCCCCACGGTGGCACGTCTGGGTATCAACGTTCTAGTCCCCATGGGGCAGGCGTCCCCGGCTGGCGGGTCAGCCCATGTTGTACAGCCGTCGTACTGTCCCAAGGAACGCTGAGGAAAGAGGACATGGGGGGGGCTCTTCTGGCCACGCCGAGCCTCGGCCACGAATGCGCCCCCCGACCTGGGCCTGGGGAACGGCCCGAAAACCAGAGCCCCTCCTGAGCCCAAAATGGTCCGCGATTCCGCGTCTTGGCTGCACTTTGCACCACCCTTCGTCCGCGGAGCCCGTCCAGAAGCGCCCCCGCGCCCCAACCCACGCGCGCTCGCTCGCACGCAGCGGGCTGCCGGCCCGCGGTGCCTGCAACGGGGAGCGGCGCGCCTGAGGGCCACGGCAGCAACGGAACGCCACTGCGTGGGTCGGCCACCTCCTTCGCCTTTCAAAGCGGGGCCCTCGCCTGGATGGCAAACCCATCGGGCACCCGTCTTTCAGGGGGGCGCTTCCTGCACTGGAAAGCAAGCTCGTGAGGACTGGTGAGGAGGGGGCTTGGGACGGGAGGATGTGTTGCAACATCCTCGATGTATCTTGGGCTTGCTCTGGTCAACCTCCTCATCTTCCTCATCCTGCCCAAACTCCGTCCGTATTCCTTCTGAATGATTCCCCCCTATCGCACCAACAGGCGTGTCCGTAGGCCGGGCTGGGCGCTTCCTTTGAGACTCCACGTAAAGTAACTACTGGAGCTAAAAGCCTTCAACATAGTAAGTGTGTAGAGCGGCTTGTGTTCAAATTGCGTATCTCGCCTTCGCGCCGCGCACATTCCTCCTGAAAGCTTACAGCAGGTTCAAGGATGGAAGCTGGCTCGTTTTCATAATGCGATGATCGCCCTGGCGCCGCGCACATTCGCCCCCAAAGCTTGCAACAGCTTCAAGGATGAGGATGGAAGCCTAAATTATAGTTCACAAAGCGGTTCTCGACTTAGCGCCGCGCACATTCGTCTTGATAGCTAGCAACCCCTAGACAGGTGGACGACGCCTGCGCTTCCGAATGGGGCCTTCGTTTGACATGTTCAGATTCTTAGCAGCTTGAACACTGCGAGTGCGCAACAACTGCACGGATGATGAAGGGCGGCCCCTTCCTCGAAATGGGGGGCATCCCGTGAGACTTCCTCAAGTTCGAAGTCCAGACGTGCAATCCTTTGCGACAGGATCATTGATACGGGGCGCCTCCTTTTCAAAATATGGATATCGCTGGCCACCTCGTTCAAACTTACGACCCTGCATTGTCGCATTCCTTCCCACCGCAAAGAGCATGCAAGGCAGTTCCCTCTCAGCACTGGGCGCTCACCTGAATGACACGCCCATCGGGCGCTCGTCTTTCAAGAGGTCGCTTCCTGTAGCGCATAGGAGGGGGCGTAATGGCCTATGGGAAGGAGACTTAGGACGGGAGGGCGTATCGCAGCATCGTTGATGCATTCTGGGCCTGCTCTGGTCATCCACTTACTCCTCATCCTCCCCCTCGTCCGTCTGCTCCTCCTCGAACTCATCATCCTCATCATCCTACGATTATATGTCTCCACGTTCCAGCGCACTGCATACGGTGAAGAAGGACGAATCGGAGGAGGAGGGCGCAAGAACAGAGGAGAAGGAGAAGCAGCGACAGAAGGAACTCATCCGTTATCCTCCCCCTCCTTTCCCTTCCCCCTCCCCCTCCCCCTCCTCCTCCTCCTCTTCCTCCTCCTCCTCTTCCTCTTCCTCTTCCTCTTCCTCCTCACCAGCACCATCATCCTTACCATCATCATCTTCATCTTCTTCATCGCCATCATCATCATAATCAGCATCAGCAGCATCAGCATCAGCATCAGCGTCAGCAGCAGCAGCAACAGCAGCAGCATCGTCATCGACAACTTCATCAGCAGCATCATCAGCACACTCGTTATGCTAATACTAACTCGCTTCACCAACAGCAGCATAATCAGCATATCGTCATCGCCATGAGCATGATCGTCCTCTTCAACTGCCGCAGCAACCTCGTGATCCTCATCATCGTTATCATCAGCATCATCAACATAATCAGCATCAGCAGCAGCAGCATCAGCATAATCATCAGCATCATCAGCAACATCATCATCATCATCATCAGTAGCATCATCCGCAGCAGCATCATCCTAGTAAGCATCATCACCATCACCATCAGCATCATCATCAGCATCATCATCATCAGCATCAGCAGCATCGACATCACCATCAGCATCAGCATCAACATCATCAGCATCAGCATCATCATCATCATAATCAGCAGCAGCAGCAGCATCATCATCATCCCCCTCCCCCATAGCATCCCCGTCTACCGCTTTCCCCTCTCCTCCCTTGGCCTTCCCTTCCTCGATCATGCGTCATCTTTATCCGCCACCAGGCCCCCATGGCACGTTGGGGCATGCTAGAATGCCAAGCGCTGCCTGGCACGGCTCCTGAAATTTTCTCTAAAGGGCCCCCGCCCGCTCGGGACGTACCGGGCTGCATGCCTCGCCCCCTCTCCCCGAGGCCACAATCCCTTGCAAAGTACGACCTACCGAGGCCCAGATGCCTCCAGCACGGCCCGATATCGTCCCAACATTGACCCCACGACGGCCCAAGATGGCTTCAAGGCAGCCCAGGAACCCGTAAAGACGTCCCACGAGGGCCCCGAGAGACAAAATCCATTGATTGTCCGTAGCTTGTTCAGTGTGCTTAGCTTCTCGCCTTTTCGAGATTCCAACGCTCCAAGCCGGCTCAGGAGGCCCCCAAGACTCCCCCGAGACAGCTCGAGAGGCCCACAAAAGAGCTCCCAGACGGCTCAAGAGGGCTCTACGACGGCCCCAAGAGGCGCCCAAGACTGTCCAAGAGGGCCCCCAGAGGCCCCAAGAAGGGCCAAAGAGTGAGAACACGAACCAAAAATTCTAGCCTTCTGCCCCAAGAGGCCCCCAGCAGCGCCCCCCCCGCTTCCTCGAATAGCCGCCACCCAGAATACTGCGCTGGCACGGCGGCGGAATTGCCGGAGGCAGCTGGACATAATCATCCTGCTCCACCTCCTGCTTCTCCTCCCCTCCTCCCTGCCAATACAAGCTCCCTTCCTTCCACGCTTCCACTCCCAATCCCGTTTTGCTCTGCGTCGAAGGCGCTTCGAGGCCTCTGCGCTCGAGTCTGCTTGTTTCGAGCACGGCGCAGCTCCTGCGCGTCGTCCCTCCCCGAGCCTCTCTGCCAAGATGTCGCTCGACCTCCCTCTGCGCTTCCTGCTCCTGCCTGGCTCCCTCGCCCGTCTCACAATGAACGACGGCCCGACTCGGCGAACATAAACAGATCGAACGCAAGTGTAAGGGTTGAGAGGATGGGTCGGATCTCAGAAGTGGTGCGAGCGCACATAGCTTGTCCACCTGCTTTCGCCCCCCTCCTCATCCTCCATCCCGTCCTCCCTCCCCGTCCCTCCGCCCCACTCCCATCAGAGTTCGCCCTTTCTTCCACTCCCCTTCGTACCCTGTCTGTGCGCACGCCTCTGCCCCTCTGCGAGATCAAAGCCGATGCAGAGTACCCTCGCCAAGACGGGACTCCACGGCCGATGTAAGACCCTCTGGAGCTGGCTCTGGACCGGCAAAGCTCGAAGCCGCAGCGGCGCGTGCCATCCCTTTGTCGACCGCAACCTGCGAGACGACCCGTCCGCGGCGAGCCTCGCTGCACCTGGTTCCACGCCAGTTTCTCCGGAAACAGATCGCAGAGATGGGCGCGGCCCTGACCCCCCAGGCCGACGCAGGGTGCACGAGGGCGAAGCCCCTGAGCCAAGAAGGTGCAGACAGGCTCTCGCCGCGTAAAGAAACTGCAGGAGCACGTGCGAGGAGCACTCTCTGGTCCGTCGCAAAGCAGCCGAGCCCCTGGCCCCAGCACCAGCTCGAAGCCGCCCAGACCCTCCGCCACGGCGCAGCTCTCTGGAACCGCCAGGCTCCCACCGTGGGAGCGCCCATCCTCATTGACCGTTCTCCCTCGCCCGCTCCCCGCCCCCCGTCCACCCTCCCATCCCGACCTACACGCGCACTTTTTCCTCTGCTGGCGATGTGACACCACAGTCGCGACTATACGAAGACGGACTACGTCTTGAAGGGACGGCACACACGGACGGTAGGCGTGCAGCGTGAAGAGTAGAGAAGAAGCTGGCGTGCAGCCAGGGCAGCAGAACAGTACGCCCAGAAGGGGGTTCAAAGGCGTGCAAGTATGGCGTGCAGGGTGAAAACAAGGAAGCAACTGAATCTACCGTAGACCGATGCTACGGGCGTGCAAACGCTGCAATTCGGTAGAGAAAACGGGGCAGCCTCATGCGAGCGGGTGCAATGAAAACGGCCGAGGTCAGTAACGCATGGCGGCCGGCGGGGAGTGAGGAGACCGGCAGGGCTGGAAGGGGGAGGAGCAAAGACCGAGCGGTAGCCCGTGAATGAGACAAGCGCACGCGACGCTGGCCTGATGGAGGCAAGGCAAACGCCTCCAGCCCGCGCAGCGGGAGGAGGCGGGCAAAGAGCGAATGTCGCGGCACGGGGTGGCCAGAAACTGCGCGTGCGGGCAGCACGAGTGTAGGGAACCGACAGGGCCAGAAGGAAGAGGGGCAACCACAGAAGGGACTGTGGCGAGGCCGGCCGAAACAGAGCGGCCCAAGCGACACCCACCAGCCTGCGGAGAGTGAGGCAGACCACTGGTCGGGAACTCGCCTCCCAGCCTGCACAGTGACCGAGGAGCGCCGACGCTGGAGACTCACGGGCAGGCATGGGGCACAACACCCACCCTAGAAAGGGCAATGGCCCTGCTGCCGGTGGAATGGGATATGCGACCGCAAGTGGTGACCGCCGCCCTGAGACTTCATCCTCCTCGCTGGATCGACGAAAACGTCGATCCAACGAGGTCGTTGAACCGTGCATGGAAGCGGGCATCAAAGTCGTGCGTGTCAAAGCCGCAAGCCACCGACAAGCCACGAATCCAGAGCTCCAAGCCAGCGTGACACCAGGCCGGGAGCCACACGGGGCAATCACACGCGCAAACACACACACACACACACACACACACACATACACACAGACATGTTTGGCGGTAGCGGCGTCGCGCGCAACGACGAAGCGGAGACAATGTAACACTCAACACATCGCGCGAGGCGGCCGGGCACTCAACATCGTTTAGGATTTAAACCAACCGGCAACGGCCATCGCACACGCACGCACATATATATATATATATATATATATATATGTATGCATATGCATACATACACACAGGCAGACAGACAGACAGACAAACTGACTGACTGACAGACATACATATACAATTGGCGGTCCAAATCCCGCGCGCAGCGGCGAAGCGGAGTAAGGGCGTAGTAACAGGCGAACGCTGGCACATACACGCAAATTTTACGTCGGCGGCGAGGCAGAACTGCACCAGCGAGCGGCGAACCAAGGCAACCGATACGCGAATTGGCGGGCGTGCAAAATGTGGGAACTAAACAGAAAGGGCGGCCGCGAAGGACAGGAGGCGGAGGGCACTCAAACGCGGAAGAATTCCATGCTGAGTGCGCCGGCGCGGCCAGCAGTGGCAGCGGGGCATTGGCAGCAGCCGGGCCGCGGCGTCGGTGCACCCACAGGAGCTGCCGATGCTCAGTACGAGGTAGAGCAAGTGGTAAACAGTGCTGGCGTCCAGGTTGAGAACTGCCGACCGCAAAACGCTGTGCCCACCAGGTGAATGGTTGCGAGAAGGTGCGCCCTGGCGCAGCGTCATCAGCCAGGAACACCAAGGGGGGGGCTGCGCGCCAGGAGCGGCAGCAGGCGGCGCCATGGAGGCGCGCGAGGAGGGAGGGAAAAAGGCAGCGGAGGAGGGGAAAGGAAAAGAGGCGAGGAACGCAGAAGCACACACACACACACACGCACGCGAATCTATCCCCCTCAGGACCTCACACAGTTTCTCCCGCGGAGTCCAAAGCCGATCCCAGCGCCGGCGCCCCGCCAGTGCACACCTTTTCGGGGGGCACACACGTGAGCGTTGCTCCCCGATGGGGCCCGCCAGATCCTCGGAAGAGTGGATTTTTTGGAGGGGCGCGAGGCCTAGAACTGAGATCTTACTCACGACATCCGCTCCCGCAGGCCAGGATTGATCATTTTGGTACCACTTGGTACATGGCGTGACCTCTACCTGAGGAGAAGCGAATTTCGCAAGGCGAGATGCAAACGGGGGGGCGAATGAGGATCTTGAGCAAATATGAAAACGGTAATTGCTGGAACCCCACTTGAGGTTGCCACTAGGGGAGATGGAATGCGTGAGAACGGGGCATGCTGACTGCACGGCTACCACGCGGACGCACCCACTCACGTGGGTTCCAAGAATTTTGTTTTGGTTGCGACTGGCAGGAAGATGGAGGCCATTTTGGGATTCCAGATTCACAAGCAGTCTGTGGACACACCCGCTGGGCCTTCAATTGGCGATCCTGTTAAGGATCTTGGCGGGGTCGAAGCGCGCGAGGGTGGGCCATGCCAGGCTCACGAGCATTTCAGCCCATCACGAATATGAAAAAACGCCTTGCAAGAAACCAGGCCCCGAACTGCAACATCTCGTCGGGATTGTTGGTAGGTCGCTCCTCATGCCCAAGGTCTCGACCCGCTAAGACGTCGCCGAAATCAATTTCCCATTTTTCCGCAAACCAAATATCTTAGACTTGAACTGAACTGCGCGGACACACACGCGCACACACACACACACACACGCACGCACACACACACGCGCACGCACGTCCGCCCGCACGCACGCACGCACACACCCACACACACACACACACACACCAGGGCCCGAGCTAACGTTCTCTTTGGAGGAACCAAAAGACATGAGAGGTGATGATTGGAGGCCCATGGGTGGTATGATAAGTTGAATATCCCTGAGGGGGCGCAGGGGCGACATGCTTAGAGACTCGGGCTACGTAGAAGCGCAGACACACACTAGGCTTCCAGTGAGGCTCCCTGGAGAGAAAACAAAAGGATTGCTCTTCCTCGAATCACCCGTGACCTCCGTGGCGATACGCGGCAGAGACTGACCAGTGGCTTTATCTACAGCAACATCCCGGAAGCACAAAAGCACCAGCGGGAAGAGGAGAGGAGGAAAGGAATACGAGGAATGAGACTGGGCAGCGTAGTTGCCGAAAACGGCTGTCGCGCACATCCGTTGCTTCAAAACCTGGCCCATGCAAGAAATAAAACAGCACCAGCCACAAGGAAGGGAAGGTAGGAGATGACAAAGAAGGAATGGAGGAGAGCAGGAGGAGAGAGGATATACACTTCAAATGGAGCGATCCATCGAGTATCGAACGGCCGAGAAGCGGCATCATATGGCAAATTAAGAAACCAAGAAGAGGATAAGAGAAGACGACGACGGGAGGAGAAGATGCTAAATGACTACTATCGCCACTTTTTGCGTGCGAGGGCCACAGCGCGAGCGCTCGACGGGTGGCTTCGCGTGGCTTCGCTAATGAAGCCGCGGAAAAAAAAACAGGGGCGACTGCGACGGGAGCCCCGTGACGAGCTGCAACCTGTACACGAAACGTCGCGTAGATGGTGATCGCTCGAGAAATGTCAAAGCGGTCATCGTGGTCGGCCCCCAGCGCGTAAACCGAACGAGCCGTGTTCATGGCAATCCATCCGCGGCCAGGTGTAAGACTCAGCCAGTGAGCTCGCAGCGCATGTAGCTCACCAAAAACAACGTACATAAGGCTTGATGCAGTCCGAATCCCAGGGCCAGCCGAAACAGCACAGAGCCCACGATCATTGTTTACCTGCCGTCGCCCAGCAATTCACGCGGTGGGCGACCAATGCGGAGAGGCGGCACATGTGCTTGCGGAACGACTCCACGCGGAGGCCAGGCAACGTGCGCATCTACCAGTGGTCGAGCCTGCGCTGGAGGTGGATCTGGGCGTTGGCCTCCAGCGGCGGCCGCAATGCCCTGCTGATCTGCGCGTGCAGTCTGTCGCTGTGTGGCAGCCGCCACTGGCATTCAGTTCGGCAGCGCCCACGTCCCGGATGCCGCACACCCTGCGTTCGACAGCTTCCAGCGAACACAGAATTGGACGAAATCCAACCGCCATGGTGCGGCGTGCGAGCCGCACAGTCTGGGCGGCTCAGCAAGCGCCGAAGTTGGTGAGTTCTCAAGTGGACCCGCGGCCCGCCGTACCTCAATGTCTCGTGAAAAGCCAACCGTGGACAGAGCGACCCGATAAGCAAGGATGGTACGCAGAGCCCCCAAGCCTAAGCCTCCCCAAATGCGCACCTGCTCGGCGTACTTGTACATTCGCTGCGACCAGGGCCGATGACGTAGCCCAGGTACTTGGCGTCACGGGCGACGCCCATGGAGCCCCTGAGCGGAGCCGCTCGGACAAAGCGCTCGCGGGTGCTGCCCAAGCTCTCCCCCGAGAGAGACACGACAGCCTTGTCGACGTTCGAAACCAAGCCCGGACGTCTGAGAAAATAAATTCAATCTCGGGAGGAAGCTCCAAATATTCTGGTGCACCAAGGCGGCGTCGTCCGCGCACGCGCGCAAGGTGCTAATTATCCGGCAAGTTGCGCGCGATCCGGCGCAGCAGGATGTCAGCCGCCACAGCGAAGAGAAGCAGGGACAGCGGGCAGCCTTGGCGAACTCCTCGGGTGATCGCGAAGCCCTAATGCCGAGCCCCGCCCATTGCCAGCTCTCAGGTGTTGGAAGCGTACAATACCCAGAAAAGCAGCCACTTGGGCCAGGAGAGGTGGTGGAAGACCTGCAGCGTGAGCTCGTGATCGGTCGACGGGAAAGCCGCTGCGAAGTCGAAGAAACTCGCGGCGCCGTCGTCTGAGGAACAAAACGCCGTGGCCATGGCCTCATCCATGCCGACCGAATTTTCGAACATAGACCTCCAGCTCAAAAACCAGCCTTGCAAATCAAGGATGCGCCGAGAAACCGCCGGTTCGATGGCAAACCGCGAGTGGCGTTGCACAGCAATCAGTCATCTGCGTTGGCAACGTTAAATCGGCCGTGTGTTCGTTGGTTCGTGTATGGCTGCCGCCCCCCTGGTGGCGCCGAACTGATTTTTTCGGGAGGAGGAAGAGGAGGCGCCCGCTTAGCAGCACGATGTCCTCGCGCAGTATGCCCCGGACCTCGGAATGAAAGATGAACTCCGCCGCACCGTGCAGGAGCGTCGCGGAGAAATTTGAGCATTTCCTTCACGCCAGAAATTGGACACCATCGGGCCCTGGCAAGGAGTTGTTCCACCCCTGCAGCGCCCGGATAATGTGCTTGCGCTTGAGCTTCAGCCTGCTCGTGGCGAGGGGAGCCGGCTCCGCGGCCTGCCGCGCGGAGCCGTCCTCCTGGAACCACTCCGTGAGCAGGTCGCTATTCATGCCTTTGGCCTGAAAGACCTTGGGCCAGTGGGCGGAGAGCGCGTTGGCAATCTTTTCGGGACAAATCGCAACCCCGCTCGAAGGTTCGCGGACAGCCCCGATGGTGTTGACCCGGTCTGGGGCCAGTCTGAATATCAGCCTGCTGTTCTTCTGTCTGGAGGGGAAGGCGATCTGGCCATCTGAGTCATCCAGGTCTTCGCGCTAGCGGCAAGGTTCCTCGAGGGCATGGTCACGAGCTAGACCAACCGCGTAGTTCCTGTGGTTGCAACATTTGTTCCACGACGATGGTCTCGGACCGACGGCAATGCAGGTTAACAATAGGTGCCGATCTACCAGCCTCGGCAGTGAGCACAGTCCGAGTAAGACAGTCACCAAGCAAATCCAGAACGCCACACGAGCTGACCTGCCGTAGTCAAGCTCATGTAGAGAATCGTGGCCTGGGAGAGAGGACACCAAGAGCTACCCGCGACAATTATTGCCTGGGCAAGCCGTGCCGAGGAAAGAGGTCAAGAAGAGGAAGAGGAGAGAGATGCCAGATGGCAAAGGATACGAATCAACCCTCACATGTATCGACCCCAGGCCTGACGAACTGTACTACGACAACTCCGTATTGAAAGGCCTGAACAGCCCAGGCAATACAATCACCACGGCAGGAGAAAGGAGGGAGAGGGAGGAAGAAAACAACAGAGCTCGCAAATGCACAAACCAGCCAGGGCATAGCCTGGGGCCCACGCGCAACCTTCCCAGACGAGCGGTGAGGAGGAGAGCGAAAACGGGATGAGAGGGGGAAAGAGTGAAGATCTCGCTCATGGGGCTGCGAGACCAGTGAAAGAGTTGCTGGTGTTGGCAAGGCATGTGTTACAATACCTGCCCGAGCCCTGCCGTGCAGGGGCGGGAAGGACAGGGTGCGCACGCCTGTGGCCTGGGCGGCCTACAAAAAAACTGCGGAAGAAAGGCGGCAAGGAGAGTAGGGAGGCAACAAAGGGCGAGGAGCGCTGGCCGCCCATGGAACTCCAGGCCAGGCCCCCAAGATATGCAGAAGGCCGTTCAGGTGGAGAAGTAGACGCAGTAGCACTGTTGACGGCGCCCCTGTGATCTCGGACATCGGAGCTGACACACCCCTGGCTCTTGATCCCCGTGGCGCGGCACACCCTGTGGCCCATGTTGGGCCCAGTGGTCCGGCACGCCTGGTCCATGTTGACTCCAGCGGTGCCGCACGCGTGGAGCAAGACTCGGAGACGGAGTCGATGCCGGAGCCGGTGTCAGAAGGGCAGGCCAGGGTCGGAGGCACCGCTGGGGTCGGGGCTGGCGACGGAAGAACCGGAGCTGGGACCAGAGCGGGGAACGGATGGGGACCTGTGGTCGTCGCCAACAGCGTGCCGCTGGCCCCGCTCGTGCTCGACGCAATGATGACACTGTCGGATGTGCCGCTACATGTGGCCGCAAGTTCTGTACAAGCCAGTCGAGCGAGAATCGGAGCAATCGTCGGCGCGTCTGCTAGGAGTCGAGGCTGGCGTTGGAATGACGGTCGGAGGGGGAGCTGGAGCTAAAGCTGCAGGCCTGGCCAACATCAGAGATGGCGCGTCTGCATGAGCTGGTCTGTTTTCCGGGTCTGCTGTTGCAAGGGCAGCCCCCGAGTACCGGTAGAATCGATCTCGCACTGCTCGATGTGATAATGGGCATGTAACGGTCTGGACGCGGACGTTGGTCTATGAGTTGGGGTGGCAGGATCTGTCCGCCCCAGGGGCTCCTCATAAGCAACGTTGCAGTCGAAAGTGTGAAATCATTTGCTGGCGTTGGAGCGGCAGGCCGAACGGGGCGCGGAGCTGGGGTCGGAGCTGGGGTCGGAACCTGCGTTGGCGTGGCAGCCAACATGTCGAGATGCCAATTGTGCACGCGATCGCCGTGGCTATGGAGTCAGAGCCGGAGTCGGAGCCAGAGTCGGAATGGGGGTAGGTACCAGAGACGAAGCCAGAGCAAGAGTCGGAGAAAAA